AAATATCTTAGTTGCTACCTACACCTTCACCCTGTCACTGTCACCACACCGATGCTATCCAGCAGATTGCACATCTCTCTATCACCGGAGGCCGCTGCAATACAACCGCTATGTAGCCGTTTTGTCACATCCACCACTATCACACTTGAGCCAACTTCCCCACAATCTCAATATAACAGTAAGGACTCCCAGCACATGAGGAAGATCTTGTTGAGAGATGAGTATGAAACTCTGAAGAAGTTGTATAATTCTTTTCGTACAACTTACAAGAAGTCGTTGCAGAACCTAATGTATACATATTTGTTTTCACAAAATCTACAGCCGAATTGTGCTGTCTTGCCCAGAATGCTTAGTACAGAACGTATATATTTTCCCGTGTGAAGCTTACTGAGATGGTAAGCCAAAAATGTTCCATATAGCCTTCCACATCTGCCTCTTTACTTTTTGTTGAGAAGATGAGCAAGGTAGCGAAGTTCCTCGAACGCGTGCATTGTGTCTGCATCGAATCCCCCTGCAAACTGCATATCAAGCAAGAAATATATCTCGATCTTCTGCATTTTGAATGGACAAAAAAGCACAAATAATTTTGGATCTTTTTTGTTCTACTAACCTGATGAACTCTGAAAGCAAATCTCACTCCCTGAAGCAGCATGTAATCCATTGCAGGATCTTTCTCCGCTGCTGCCTTCAACTGAAGTTCCATAGCCACTCTCGTCATGTACATCTTTGCCAACTTGACTGAGCCAAACTTTATCTGCAAGATCGGCATCAAATTAGATATGCGATGCACAAAGGTGACCACTATTCGTTCATAAAGAATATCAAAAGTCTACCTTGCTTAAAATTCCATTGTCAAGCATCCAGTCTGTGGGGATTTTGAAGTCCCTGCAATTACGCATCAACGACTCCCTTGTCCGGAAAAGGTTATAAACTGTACGCTCCATCCTGTGAGAGGTAAGGAAACCTTGGTAAGTTTAACTAGTAGGAAAAGGATTGAACATTCTAAGAAATTAGCCACAAAGGTTCTTACTTCTCAGACAAGGAAACCATTTTCTTTAGTGCAATGTCACAAGCCAGTCTGTTATCATCCTTGTAAGAAGACACTTCAAACTCTAGTTTCTTGAGATCCCTGTAGCTGAATGCTGCTTCTCGCAGTGTGTCAGCTTTCTTTTCTGGCCAATCAAAGTGCTTTAGGACTGCCCTCTCATCCACCTTTCAACAGAAAGTAAGCTTAACAGTAAGAAATCGGCATGGGGTCCCAGTTCCATTTGACACAAATCAACCATTACATCACAGTAGGTGAAGACTGAAATATTGCACAAAAAATTATAAACTGGTTTTTCTGGTCGTTTGAAAGATCAAACTTACAAGAAAGGAAAGTTCGTCATCGAGCCACTTCACGAATGCCACGACATCTTCAATGTTTTGATAAACTGCATTGTTCACTTCTCTTATCAACGAATTCACGAATTCTCCTTGAGTCTCCACATCTGCCTTTATCTGCAAAGCAAATGGCGGTTTCATTCAATAAGGATTTGCAGTGGTCTAGTCTGCTAGAAAGCCTATGACTTCAAAAGAAACTATAACTTAGAAGAAATGAACTTCAAGCAGCCAAATTATAAATAACGGGGCAAGTGATCACTTACAGCAAGCAAATGTGATGATCGATTCTCAATTTCTCCGATCATGCTACTACGAACATTTGCAACATCTGGACCATCAGGAACTCCTCCATTTGAAGAATCTTTCCTAGAATCTCTCTTCATCAGTGAATGATAAAACTCAACTACTTGTGGGGCTCTTTGTACCACTCCTGTGGGACTAGTCTTCGTCGCAAACTTAGGAGGAGGCGGTGGGGGTGGTGGAAGCGGTGGTGGTGGAGGAACTTGCGCAGAACTATCCACTTTGGTTCCACTAGAAATGGAACATGAAGGCCTGGGAGGGGGGTTGGGAATTCTCAAGGCCCTTTTCTCAACATCTAAGCAAGATGGAAGTTTATTAATTTCGTGACAATTTCCGAAGAACTGTGATCCGTGAAGGATTCCCAAATCATATTCTTGAGAGGTTACAGTCTTTGTATCCTTCTCCATTTCTTGGACACACATAAAACCATCAGACTGCCTTCTCTTATTTGTCTGCACCAAGTCTTCTGCAAAGAATCTTGATCCACTTATTGAGTGTCTTCTTTTCGGACTTCCTGCTTCCTCGTCTGAGCTTTCTAAGTTAGGCAAATCCTCGTCAGCAATTGGCCAGTTCTTTAGTTTCTTCATAAGATTCAATCGCTTTCCACCACTGTATTCTAAGTACTTGCTGCTTCTAAATGAAAGTGCTCCATCAGATTTTCTACTCCTCTCAATCGAAGTGGGACTTAATGTGTTATCAGAATTTGCGGTGGAGGATGAGTTCTGCAACTCATTTCGTAAACATGAATTCACCCACCTCAGGTATGCCAGCTCCTCAACCTCATTCAACCTACTCATTTGTAAACCTTCAACTTGTTTGCACAAATCTTCGTTTGTATGTCTTAGCGCAGACACCTCAGCTTTAATCTTCTCAAGAATGTCACTCTGATGATAACCAATATAACAAATTTCGGTAAGCAAACAAAGCTAAACCAGGACAACCAAGTCACATAAACCAGTAATTCTAACGAAAACAAAGTAATTAATGTGTTTGGAATTCTTCTGATGGAAGCTTTTCTGCTTAGTGGGAAAAGGCTTTGTTGTTGTTGTTGTTGAAGCTTTTCCGCTCATAAGCGCGTCTTCTAGAAATGCTTTCATTAGAAATACATTGAAGTTTTTATTAAAGAAGCATTTCGCAGGTGATTCTCCAAAAAGCGCTTTGTGTTGTCATGAAGCGCTTTTAATCATTCCAGAAGCATTCTCAAACATAGAACACAAATTTAAGGTCAGCTTTGAGCTTCCGATGCCAAATTTAAGTAACCAAGGAAGTTGATTGTACCTCAGAAGCCTTTGCCAGAGAAGCCAACTGGGATGTTGCAGAAGAAAATTTGCTAGCAAGATTTCTCTTCTGAAGCTGCAACTCCTTGTTCAGGCGCCTCAACTCTAAAACCTCCATTTCCGCACTCCCCGATGCTGATGCCACTGAGGTTTCATGATCTTCTCTTTTCAAAATCACTTCACTCCTCTCCGAAATTGATGTCAATTGATCGGAGAGACTAGTTTTTTCTTCTTCCAGCAGCTCAACTTTCCGAGCCAGACCATCAAGCTCCCTCCTTTTCACCTCAAGCTCCCTCTCAAGCTCCAAGACCCTCGGGTTTCGCCTACACTCCGACAACTCAGCTTGCAACTGAAACTCCCTTTCCTTAGACTCCCGAAGCAAGTTCCTCAAGTGATCAAGCTCAATAAACAAATCTCGGGACGACTGCCTCCGGTGGGTCGGATGCATCTGAGGATGAACCTGATTGGAAAATTTTGAAAAATAGACAATTTTAGAGGCATGAATTGAATTTGAACCACACTTACTAACTTCTTATAATCTTAACCAAAACTCAAGTAAAAGGTCTTAGTTACCCGTAATAATAGAAATTCCCAAATTTAGAGAAAACCCTGTTCTATCACTTCACATTACAGAACCCAACACAAAACCCATAAAAGGAAACCTTGTATCCAAACAACACGTCACCCAACACAAAACCCAGAAAAGGAAAACCTTGTATCCAGACAAGAAGTCACAGAACACACACATAAAGTCCAATTTTAAACGAAGCACTCTTCCCTGTCACTTCACAATGCAGAACCCATCACAAAACCCTAAAAAAGGAAACCCTGAATCCAAACTGCAAGTAACACACTCACACGTATACAGACATGATCATATAGAATTCCAAATAAAGGAGGCTTATGAAATCTCCTTCAAAATTTCTTAATTTTCTTGCAAACCAAACACGAAAGGTAGTGCTGGGTACCATTCATTCATGTTCTTTCTATTCAATGGCATACATGTGCCTGCTTAGTTAAGTAGTCTCCAATTATCAACTTAGAAGATGATAAAGTCCTAAGAGGCCAAAGTCGGAGCCAAGACTGTTTTCGGGTTGGCCTACACAGAAATCAGGCTAAGTAATACTGTCGCCTACAACTCCGAACGGAAAGGATATGGATTGCTAAGGGTAAAGACTTTTTATCTGGGATTTTGGTTAGAATCATAAGAAGTTAGAAGCTTTGGCTAAAATTCAATTCATGACTCTAAAATTAGCTACTTTTCAAAATTTCCCAACCTGATTAGCATTCACAGAGCACGCCAAATCGCCAATCAGCGAGCGTTTGACGCGCGGCTGAGCAGGCGCAAAAGGGATCTTCTGGTTCGCTAAATCGTACCCCGTTAGCGGTGGTTTCTTGCTGGTGACTGTGGGCTGCGCTTTGGCCTTCTTGTCCCCAGCAAGCCCTTTCACAATGTGAGAACCCCATGAGGAAGCAGACCTCAACCTCGAAGAATTGCTGCTGCCCTTCACATTCGAACATTTCGGAATCTGGTTTTGGTCGGAAAATTTGATCGATCTTGCTCTGGTTTCTGATGGGTTCTCTTCTCTCATCGTGAAAAACCACAATTTTTACAGAAAACGTCTAACAATTGGCACTCAATTGAAACATGGGATGCTCCAAAAAAACAACCTAAATCTAGTTGAAGTGATGAAATGGGGTGATGATTACATTCAAATCTTTGGGACCAAAAGGAAGATATAAAAGCTCATATTCCAAGACCAGCTGAGGAGCTATGCGAGAGAGAAAAGTGGCAGCTTTCTTTCTTTATTTGTCCCAACTTTTGAATTTTTGAAATTTGAATGCTCTCTCCGGGTTCAATAGCTTACGTGGCCAACGGTCGTATTCTGTGCCGGGAGACCCACTTCTAGGGGGTGATACACTTTCTACATTACAAACTCGGGCCCGTACAACTTTTTGGGCCAATACCCGGCCCAATATTCTTCTTTTTCTTCCAATATTCGTTGATATTCCCGGGTTTTCAAGGGATATATCTCGAACGACAAATTCAAGTGCTTCTTCCCCAAAACCTTGGACTGCTTTCATGGTAGCCATTTCTGCTTCGAGCTCTTCTGCTTCTTCAATTTTAAGTTCGTACTTCATCGTCTCTGTAATTGAATTCCTCTCTCTCTCTCTGTATTTCCTATATTGTTTCACTCAGTAGCTCAGCACGTGAGAGGGAAAGTCTCAAACTTTAAACGATGCTATGTGAAATTTGTTGGATGAATTGAGAAATGGAGGTGATGGTTATGGCCAACGCTCAACCGGGTGTCTCCAATTTTCAGAGGAATGGGGTTTTTGCTACGAATTGTTGCCCAAAGTCGCTTCCTTTATCTGGGTTTTCGATTTTCCGGAGACCCATTTTCGGTATTGGATTAAATGAGAAGAATGTGAAGAGGAATCGGGTTTTCGGTATTAAGTTCGTGAATTCCAGAACTGTTATTAGTGCTGTGTCGAAGGAAGGGTCTGAAATTTTAGAGAAGGAATTCGAATTTAAGCCGTCATTTGATCAGTACTTGAAGGTTATGGGGACTGTTAGGCTTAGAAGTGATAGAGATAGGCAGCAGAGATCGAAAGAAGAGAATCCGAAGCATAGTGTGCGGAGTAGAGGTGTTTCCAGGAGACTGTTGTCCGAGGGTAGTGAAGAGGATGCAAAATTGGGGGAGCCTGAAGGGAATTTGAATCGAGAGAAGGCGTCAAAATTTGAGAATCGGTATGAGTCGCTTGGAAATAGAAATGGAAGCACGCATGAAAGTGAACGAGTTGAAGGGTTTAAGGATGAATATGATAGCAGACAGAACAACAAGGATGAAAAGGATAAGAAGATGATAAGGGGAGAGACAAGAGATGGAAGATGGTCAAAATATACTGGTAGGGTAGAACCAGGATTGGACTTCAAAGGTAAAAGTACAACGGTACGAAATGCAAAAGATGGCCCGGGAGTTACTGGTCGGCTAGAGCAGGAAGTAGACTTCAAAGGTAAAAGTACAATGGCACGAAATGCGAGAGATGGCCTGAGAGTTTACAAGTCAAGGGATAAAGCCGTTGAAAGAGGGAAATTTGGTGTTAGAAATGAAGATGGAGTTGAAAGGAACGACAGCAATGCTGATAAAGCGACTGATAGAGGTTTTGTTCCAAGAAGTGTAACTAAGAGTGGTAGGGATTTCCCTAAAAGATTTAACGAAAAAAGCTTGGAGGTGGAAAGAGCAGCATTTCAGAATTTTGATGAATTCGGTGATATTATGGACAAGCCACGAGTTTCACAAATGGAAATGGAGCAGAGAATCCAGAAGCTAGCAAAGTGGTATGCGCTCTGTGCCTTTTTCCTCTTCTTATATTGGAAGAATTACCTTTTAGATTGATGAAATTGACTTTGCAATTGTTGACAAATTAGTGTTACTCTTTTATTTTTAGGAAAAAAAACAAGAGACTGACATTATTGATTTTCAGCGTTTACTATTTCTCGTACTTCAGCGGACGACATGGTTTAAATGTATGGGGGGTATGGCCTATTAGTGAGTTGTTAAGCATGTCTGCTGGCTATATTATCATGTGTTTTATAGAGCATCACGCAAACCAAGCTAAGTTTGGTCTTTTACAGCAATTGTATTATGTTTTCCGAAAAGTTTCTGTAGTTTGTTAGTTCATCAATCCTCTCGGTAAAACTAATCACGCTGGAGTTTATGCAACATGGTAGTTGTGTAGTTATAGTCTAGGGGTGACTATACTTAATTCCGCCTGTAAACTGGGTTGCAGAACTATCATGTGACTTTATATGGTGTTTTTTTTCCCGTTAGAACTACTTGGGATTGGGACGGGGACGGTCATGTCCTAAAAAAAAAAGATTGTCGTTGACAGTTTGATAGGTTTTGCTTGTCATTTCCTGTATTTTTCTCTATTTCCCTTTTTTGATTTACCAAATTAGATATCTCGTATCAAGTGTTAATATATTGTAGTTATGGATTCTCATGATCTCATTAATGTTAAGTAATTATTTTAACAGGCTGAATGGTGCAGACATTGACATGCCTGAGTGGATGTTTTCAAAGATGATGCGAAGTGCACAAATCAGATTCACAGATCATTCAATATTGAGAGTTATCCAGCTATTGGGAAAACTAGGAAACTGGAGACGGGTGCTACAAGTTATTGAGTGGCTTCAAATGCGTGAACGTTTCAAATCCCACAAGCTCAGGTATTTTTCCCTAAGAAACTATTAGAGCATTAAGTATGAAGCTTGGCATACACTCCTGCTTAGGAAAGTATGGCAAATCTCATGGGGCTTTAGACTCCGTTTCAGCATTTCAGCATTTAGATGGGCTTGAATCCGTAGTGCTGCAACAGTTTCTTTTAAGAAATTGTCATGATTAGTGGATGGAACTTGAAGGAGTGTAGATATTACCAAAACTATTTCTAATATGTTGTGCAAATCATCTATCATCCATAGTGACTAATTTTCACATGTTGCAATGTCTGGGTACAAAAGAATAGTTTTTGAAGAAAAAAAGTAGAAATCAAATGGTTCTTGTTAGTTGTTACTGCTTTCTTTGTTACTGTCTTGGCTTTCACATGACTGTTAAATATCTTGTTGAACAACTATGTAAGATTGTTGTCACTAATCGTTGTATCTGAGAACAATTTGAAGCATTTCCCCTTTTGAAATTCAGATACATATACACAACTGCACTTGATGTACTTGGAAAGGCAAGGAGGCCTGTGGAAGCACTTAATGTATTTCATGCAATGTTGGTAAGTCATGCAAATTGTTATTTTCTACAGTATGCTTTGTGCTCATAAAACATGATTGTAGTTAAGGGAAGAAGAATACTGTGACCAACCAATCTTATCTTTTCTTTTTGTTTTCTGTCCAGGAACAAATGTCCTCGTATCCCGACTTGGTAGCTTATCATTCTATTGCTGTAACTCTTGGACAAGCAGGACATATGAGGGAACTTTTTGATGTGATTGATACTATGCGATCTCCTCCTAAGAAGAAGTTCAAAACCGGGGCACTTGGAAAGTGGGATCCTCGTCTGGAACCAGATATTGTTGTCTTTCATGCGGTAAGTAGTAGTTGATGATAATTGATGCAAATATGAGTGCAGTTCTATATATATGGGTGTAATGAATTGTATGTGCAGGTATTAAATGCCTGTGTTCAGCGCAAACAATGGGAAGGAGCATTTTGGGTTTTGCAGCAGTTGAAGCAACAAGGCCTACAGCCTGCCACAACAACATATGGACTTGTCATGGAGGTATAAGTCCCCTGGTTTCTTTCTTCCGGTCCATTGACTATCTCCCAAACCCCTACTAGTTTGCTTCCAAAAAAAAAAAAAACCCCTACTAGTTGTTCCCAAGTATTTTCTTTTGTCATGAAGTCCGTGTTAATGAGTTTAGTTTTTCATGTGTGTGCTGGTTGGTTTATGTATTTATGTAGATATTCTGTTTGATTGTCAGCTTTCAATGAAACAGGGTATAACCTTGTTGAATTAAGTAAATTTAAGTATAGCCCCTCACTCATTTTTATATAGTTTTCTGCCTGTCCTTGCTCTGGAGCTCCTTACGTGCAACTTTTTGGGCCAATCTAGGCTTATTCATGAATCATTTAACTTTTTGGGCCAATCTATTTGATTTTATAAGATTTATGAGCCTGGTAATAGGATGCTAAATTACCCTGAATATCTCTTTCAAATTATGCATACCTGAAACCATTTTCACTGAATCAGGTGATGCTAGCATGTGGCAAGTACAACTTGGTTCATGAGTTTTTCAAGAAAGTGCAGAAATCTTCTATACCAAATGCTTTAACTTACCGAGGTATTTTACTGGATTATTGTCTCACCTCGTGTTTTGTCGTAGATGGGTAATATTGATGGTTCCTTATGAATGCAGTTATTGTGAACACTCTTTGGAGAGAAGGTAAAATAGATGAGGCTGTATCGGTTGTTCACAACATGGAAAGACGAGGAATAGTAGGTTATGCGGCTCTCTATTATGACTTTGCTCGATGTCTTTGTAGTGCTGGAAGGTGCCAAGAAGCACTAATGCAGGTAATTTGAGCTTCCATTGCATTACATCAGTGAAAATTTATTCCCGTTATGCATTTTTGTATTATTTGGCTTGGCACTTTAGATGCATTGTACAGTTGGGTCACTTACTCCATCATTCCTTCTCTTCACAGATTGAGAAGATATGTAAGGTTGCAAACAAGCCTCTAGTAGTGACTTATACCGGTTTAATTCAAGCTTGTTTGGACACTGGAAGCGTTGAAAATGCGGCCTATGTTTTCAAACAAATGGAGAACTTTTGCTCCCCAAATCTTGTTACTTGCAACATAATGCTGAAAGCTTACTTGGACCACAGAATGTTTGAAAAAGCGAAAGATCTGTTCCTGAGGATGTTAGATGATGGGAATAATATCACCAATGGATCCGATTATAAGGTTCGGATAATACCAGATAGCTACACTTTCAACACCTTGTTAGATGCCTGCGTCACAGAAAAGAGGTGGGATGATTTCGAGTATGTTTACAGAAGGATGTTACACCATGGGTTTCACTTCAATGCTAAACGCCATCTTCGGATGATATTGGACGCTTGCAAAGCCGGAAGGGTATCATTTCTTTCTTGTATACTTATGTTCCACCTCTCGGAATATAGTCATCACTTGTCTGGAAATGTCCAATGTTTATGAACTGAACTTGAATGTTTTCTGCATTCATGATTTTCAGGCGGAGCTGCTGGACATGACCTGGATGCACTTGACTGAGGCAGACCGGATTCCACCACCTCCTCTCGTGAAGGAACGGTTCTGCACGAAGCTAGAGAAAGATGACTATGCTGCTGCTCTCTCCTGTATTACCACTCAAAATCTCGGTGAGCTGCAGGCATTCTCGAAGACAGCGTGGTTGAAGTTGTTCAAGGAAAACGCGGAAAGGTTTCAGAATGACACTTTTGTACGGTTAGTTGACGAGGGTAGCATTCTTGTTAACAGAAGTGATAGGTCGAATCCTGTATTTCAAAACCTTATGGCAGCTTGCGGAGAAGTTGATAGAATCCGTTTAGCAGGAGCTGCAGGTTCTACACGTGAAACTGTATCTACAACTCAAACGGAACCAGCTATCAATTCAAAGATGTATTTTCCGGCCTAAGTAAAATAAAAGAGAACAGAATGTTCATTGAATCTTTGACCATTGATGATATGGAAACTACCCGACCCGAAAACAATCGACATTGCGCATTTCGTAGGGTTAAATGTGAAACTGAATGTCAAAAGGGTCTCCGGGTCGCTGAGAGAAGCTCCGAACCCTAGACTAAAGCCAATAACACCAACTTTTTTTTTTCAGTACATACGATATTATTTATAGTAAGAAGCAAACGGGCGGGCTAAGATTGAGGCTAGCCATAAGCATGTGGCATGAAATTAATTTGGTAAGAATCAAATCTAAAACTAAGATCTGACTTCAGGACCACGTGTCTGCAGACCCTAAACACAGAATTCGGATCCTCTTCGAACCCTAATGTCCGAAGGTTTAAGACCAGAGGATTTGAGCTCTTTGTTTGTGTAAGAGAGAGATCAGAGCCCTTAATTTGTAGAAAATGGCCTACTAAATAACTTAATGAAGACCGTCGGATTTTATTTGAGTAGTCGAGATAGCCTGGTCCTTAAGCTCTGGCTAATGAGATATGGAGAGGATCTTTCGTCCAAACACAACTACATAGTCACTCCACCATACACCATGTAACGACCCCAACGCCTCACAGCACACTCATAGCCCACAACCTCCGGCACCCACACTTGCAATTTTCTCCTCTCACATACAGTTGAAGAATTAACAAGCACAAAGCAAGAACCAGATGACAACTAGTAAAACGTTTGACTGTTAATATCATGATATCTTGATCAAAGCATGAAAGGTTCAAACCGCACAAAAATGCACCAATCTAGTACTGCGATATAAATTAAAACGGTCCCAAAACAGCAAACTTAGGTAACAAAGAAAACGTAATCCCTCATAAGCCTCTTCACTTGTCTGCCTTCGATATGTTAGCAGCAGCTTGTCCTCTGAGACGACCAGTCCTCCTAGCAGCAATGAGACCAACCTTCTGCCCAGGAGGAGCGTCACGCCTGACCGTGCTAGCATGTCCAATATGCTGGTGATTACCTCCTCCATGAGGATGCTCGACTGGGTTCATAGCCACACCACGAACCTTGGGCCAGCAGTTCCTCTTCACTCTGAACTTGTGGTAAGCATTACCAGCCTTGAGCATTGGCTTTTCTGTTCTTCCTCCACCTGCAACTTGCCCAATCATAGCACGGCACCCGCTTGGAACAATCTTCTTGGCTCCAGACGGAAGCTTGACCCTGTTAGAACCAGTGGAAACAGAAAATTGTTTATACATGTCTCCCATACAATAAACAGTATGTCAAGACATAAAGCTTTTACAATCACAAAGACAAAATATTTCAATAAGAGTCGATGACAAGCAGAAGATAAACCAAAACAATAGAAATAGAAATCATATTTTAAATAGCTAGTATTATGAACAGAAATCTTGATATCAGACAATTTGTGGTTGATTCACACTCTTCTGAACGATGCAACCAAGTAAGGACTCCAAAAAATTACCAATTCCCAACTGGTTCTGAATGAAAGCAAAATACAGAATAAGGATATCAAATCGATAACTTAACAATGTGAACAGCAATCTAATCTTAAAATGCGATTCGTTTTTGCATAAAATGACAATCATATAAATAATACAACCAAATAATGGCCTTTATCAGAAAATTAGCAATTTCTATATAGTACTAACTGAAAAACACGTTCAAAGGATGACCCGTAAACCCATCACAAAATATCAGCTAAAATGCAAGGGTTCCACGGATAAACAATCTCAAACATACCATACGCTATGCGGAAAAAGATACTCAGTATACAAGATTTTATAATAAAAAAGGGTCAATAATCCAAAAAAATTTGATGACTAGCAGTAGCTGAAGCAACAAAATGGACAGTCCAAAATCATCACAATCTTCTTAACAATACAACCAAATAAGAAAAATCTTGTTAAAAAACAATTTCTCTATTGTTCTAAATGGAAGCAAAAAGTAAAATGAGGATAATGAAATTCGATTAATTAGTACTTTATACAACAATTTTCACAATCATAACATCAATCCAACCAAAATATAATTCATTTTCAATTTTTCATTCAGAAGAATAATTGGTTTCTCTCGCTCCAAATTGAGAAAATGTTCGAGAACTGACCCAACTGCGTACCACATAATAAAACCTAAAACTAAACCCAACCCAGTTCAGCAAATGAACAAACTACTCGCTAAAGGGATACGATTTTTGCGATTCATCTCTATCGTTCTACATTGAAAAAGCATACGCATAATAAAACCTAAAACTAAAGCCACCCCAGTTCAGCAAATGAACATACTATTAGCTAAAGGGATACAATTTTTGTGATTGAATCAGACATCACATATCTACATGCAAATTACAATCATATGAGAAATTGGTAAATTGGTATCTCAATAACAACGTAATATTTGAACTCCAATTATCGAAATCCAATTAACAAAAACACTAATATCTGTATACAAATATAATAACCCAATAATTTAGCAAGAATGAAAAGGAAATAATATGAACAGAGAGAGATGTATAAAGACCTGGAGGTATCGTTGTCAGGGTTGTGGCTGATAACAACAGCGTAATCACCAGACGCCCTAGCGAGGGTTCCGCGGTCCCCAACATGGTGCTCGACGTTACAGACGACAGCTCCCTCCGGGATCGATCTGAGAGGCAACACATTCCCGACCACCAAATTGGCCTTCTTCCCGCAGTAGATGAACTGACCGGTGTAGATTCCCTCGGCGGCAACGAAGAGCTCGTTCTGCTTCTTGTACCTAAACGGATGGCGGAAGCTGACGCGGGCCAACGGGGCACCGCGACCAGGATCGTGGATGATCTCGGTGACGACACCCTTGAGGTAGCCGTTGCGCTCGCCGAAGTCGAGGCTCCGGAAGCGGGCAGGACCCTTGCGGTGGTGGGTGTGCGACTTGAAAACGGAGCCCGCACCCTTACGCTGAGCTCGGATAACCCTCCCCATAGCTCCGGCGAGTGATTTTCTGCTACTAGCGGCCGCGCGAAATGGTGTTCCGAAAACCCTAGGATTTGTGTTTGATTTTATAGGTCTTGGGAGAGATATGGCAGTGAGTGAACACTGAACAGCCTGCAAACTCTCTAAAACCCTAACGTGAAATAATATGACATTGGCCCAAAATGTGGAAATTGTAAAAAGCCCAAAGTCAAGAGGTTGGTATAACGAGCAAAGGTTTGGATCCTTCAATTCGAATTCAAATTTTTAGGTATAAATTTGTCGATTAATCGTTATCATCGTAATACGGCGTAGAAATGTTAAACATTTGCCTCGGCCAATTTTCATGTTCTTTTTTAAATTAGTTGTTCATGTCCATGCATTAAATTGTATACTTAATTATTGCGTGATTATTTCCTTTCTATTTTTTATTAAATATAGCAATTATACCTTCTTCTTTTTCAACAATTGCATGATTTATTTCAAGATTTTTTATGTGATTTTATAGCAATTAAAGTCCTAATTTTTCAACATGACATAGCCCATAGGTATGGTATGCAAAATTTTGTAATGAAATTAACATGATATATGGTTTCATTGATTGATTGTGATAGTTATATATAAGTAAACATGTACAACATCAATCTTAAATGATCATACGCATCCCACAATACGCATAAATAGGTGAGATATTGGAAGCAATTAAACATATAAAAGAATGAAAAATTAGTATCCGATCCCTAGTTCTTACTGTTCATTAACTAAGACATTATTAGTTCTCAAATTTTGATTCAAGTCCCTATCATTAATTTGATAATGAATTTACATGTTTATTATATAATTTTTAATATAAAAATTAGTAATTAATTTAGGGTTTAATACTCACACCTCTATTAAACTTCTAATTAATTTTCAATTCAAACATTTCCAAAATAAAACAAAAAAAAATTAAATTAAGTTTGTACCTATTAGTTTATATATATATATATATAAAGATTCTCAATTTTTTAATCTTAAATGTACCCATTCATATAATTTTTCAATTTTTTAAAGCTTAAATGTACCCATTCTCAAATATATCAATTTGTTATATGTAAAATGTACCCTTTTTTTAATATAAAATCCATTCAAAATTTTTAATCCATGTTTAAACTTATATGGGTACATTCTTTTTCGTTGATTTGAGAATGTATCCATATTTTGGTACAATACCTTTTTTTGTTAATTTTGGTTAATGTACCCATACATATATGTACACACACACAATGTAATAGAGAGTATAATTTATATTTTATTATTTTTAATCCCATAAATTATGGGTTTTATTTAAAATCTCATTAATATAAACAATTACAAATTTTAATTTTTAATTTTTAATTTAAAAATATAGTAACTTACATTATTATATTAATGTCATGGACCTCAATCAAAAACTAAAAACTAACAAGGTTTCAATAAAAGAATATTGATAGTTAGGGACTGCATCCAAAGTGTCCCATAAAATAATGATCAATTTATAGGTTCAGTTATTGAGATGTCAAAGAACTTTCTTATTTATCAAGAAAATACAACATAAGTAAAAGACATTTATGTACATTGTTAATAGCCACCATCCAAACCCATTACTATCTGGCTAGTAGTCCACCCACCTCGACCTTGAGGATATGAAAGAATGCAACTCCAAAAGAAGGTTGAACCTTTACGGTAGTGACTGTGGTTGAACCTTTACGGTAGTGATACTTGAAGACAAGCTAGCACCTTTAGGATGAGCTGAGCTCTGGTGATTATTATCATGGTTCTGCTAGTGATGTATGTTATTAGCGACCTCGAATGCAAAAGTAGTGTTACTCCAAAACCCTAGGATTTGTTGACTATCATTGACTAATGCCAAACTCAGCATAATTTGTTGGAATATGGTGCAAACTCGGCATAATTTGGGATTTGTTGACTATCATTGACTAATGCCAAACTCAGCATAATTTGTTGGAATATGGTGCAAACTCGGCATAATTTGTTGGAATATGGTGCTGCCAACTTTGTGCAAACTCAGCATACTTTGTTGGAATATGGTGCTGCCAACTTTG